TTCAGATTGCCGGATTCAGGCTGTCTGTCAGGGTTCAGACCATAAAGTTCAAGCTGCCCAGTTCAGGCTGCCCACTTCAGGTCGCTGGGTTCAGGCTGTCAGGTTAAGGTCTCCAGGTTTGGGAAATCGGGTTCAGGCCGTTGGGTTATGGCTGTGGGATTCAGGCCACCGAGTTCAGGCCGCTGAGTTCAGGCTGTCTGGCTGGCTTGGTCCGACTCCACTCAACAAGAGGCCAATAAGACGAGATCAAGATCTGGGAGGAGCTGACCTTCATCCTTCCAGGATGGAGTTTAAAACAATATAGATGGTGGACATCCAGAAAATATCGACCAGTGGTATCCCAGGTTACTGTACTCGCAAAATGAGTTGACTGATCCCGGAGTTGTTTTCTGTAAAGCTCGCCAACATTACTTTGGTAGCAGTTCGGATGTATTTAATAAGCCGTTTGTCACTAAAGCTTTGAGCTCTGAATAAAGCACTGACTGATTTATTCAGATATTCATTGTCCCTGCATACTTTTCATATACTGTAATATGTCTACAATTAATCAGGTACCTTTCTGTGTATGAAAATTCTTTCAGAAAGTTTTGTTTGAAAAATATATAAGATTTGGATTAAAGGTGAGCACAGAGAAACATTTTAACTCTGGACGTATATCTCCAAAAATGAAACTTTTAAACTTTTTTAATCTGACTTCCAGCAGAAAGTCTTTGTGATGTGTTTAAACAAATATGACATGTTTGCAAACGGAATTAAAACAGGCTGATTTACTGTAGTTTATAATATTAGTGACACCAAAATAGTTAAAAATAACAGCCTAGTTCTGTTTTTAATATAGAAATTGTTGTAATTTTGATATTTTTCAGTATCCTATTCCCACATGAATCTTCCTTTATTTAAACCTTTGGCTGTGTTGTGAAAATGCAGAAGAGACTGTTGCATGGATAACTTTATAGTCGCCCACTTTCTAAGCAGGCTGATACATGCTAACATATTTTTTCCCTCCACTTTATGATTCTTACATTTTCTTGGTGATGAATGTAATAAACACTTTTTTATGTAAGAAAGTACAAAACTCTGCGCTCGCTGCAGAGACATCAACTGTTAAATGACATTAGAGGATTTCTGGTGACTGAAGGGTCACCTCAGACAACCTCAACAAAAACCCGACTACACAACATGACACAAAAACTGAAAAACAAATGATGTTATATAAGAACACCAGAACATGAATTCACCTATTTTGTAATACAAGCTTAAAATAAATATTAAGGATTCCGAATGGCCAGATGTAAAGGCAGGAAGACCGACAGACGGGCCGCCGTGTACAAGGCTCAAATTGCATAACGTGGCCTACATTCACCCCGCTTCCATCGCAGGGCCACACAGAGAGTGTGAGATAAAAAAACGTATGCAAAAGGTTTGGTGTTGCAGATGTGGGTCAGTCCTGAGCCTGCGGTCCTCTTTCACTCTCTCTCTGTGGACTCGAGGGCCGAGAGAGGGGTGAGTGTCTGATTCCCTGGAAAGTGCAGCAGCAGCCGGACTGCTAATCTACCTCTTCACCTCCCATCGCTGCTCAGGGGGATTGGGGATTACCACAATGGGATTTAAGATTTATATATTTTATTTTGGATAATTTTTCTATATTCCCACAGACCGGCCTCCCGTCCCTCTCTCTCTCCCTCACGGTGCCTTTGTGGACTGAGATTTCTGTGGAGGGAGGATTCAATCACACTCCGTTAGTGGGGTTCATTTGGGAATACCGCTGTTTGCTTGTGGGTCAGACATTTTTATATATGCTGAAGTTTCCTCCTGAGTTTGGAAAGCCACACTAAAATCCCTCCCCCCCTCGATCCTCCTCCGTGAAGGTCGAATGATATGAACTTTTGCTCCTGAGATTATGGGTTAAACATTTGTTTGCTTTTTTGTAGAAAGCGTGACATCACGGGATGACATCATACTGTCAGGTGCGCTCAAAGAAAGGTCTTACACTGATTTTACATTCTGACTTTGGGCCAACTTCTGACTACAGCCTGAGATCCTGGAGCAGAGGTGGGTCAGTCAGAGTCCTCAGAGCTCTGTTTCCATATGTTTGTTAAACATTATGGTCATTTCCTGCTTCATGTTCTTATTCTTGGAATCTGATAGAGGCAGTGAGCCCAAACCTCCACCACGGCAGCTCACTGTCTATTTTAAGAAATCTGCAGGAAAAACGAGTGCTGGTCTCGATGATGGTTTTTAATGGATTTACATGACCCCTGCAGACTTTCATCAGAATGATAAACTTTAGGGATGTAGACTCAAACAGAAGCTTTATCATTGGAAACCTGTAGAACAGTCGGTACATGATTAAAAAAAAACAAGGAAATACACAACAGGCCCGGTTCAGGTCAGGTATCTTTTCAAGGTCCTGTCCTCATCCCCTCACCCCCAACCCTTCACAGCAGATGGGCGCCCCTCCCTGAACCCCAAAGTGATTCCTCATAGGGGGTCATATTATTGTTGGGTTTTTCTCTGTATGTATTGTTATAGGATCTACCTTACAATATAAATCGCCTTGAGGCAACTGTTGTTGTAATTTGGCGCTATATAAATAAAACTGAATTGAATTGAATCCCCTCACCACCAACCCTTCGCAGCAGATGGCCACCCCTCCATGAGCCTGGTTCTGCTGGAGGTTTCTTCCTGTTAAAAGGGAGATTTTCTTTCCCTCTGTTGCCGAGCGCTTGCTCATAGGTGTTCGTCTGATTGTTGGGTTTTCTCTGTATTACTGTAGGATCTTTATTCTACAGCACAAGGCGACTGAGGCGACTATTGTTGTTATTTGGTGGTATTTAAATAAAACTGAACCAACCCACAAAAACATGCATTAAGGCTCTTTAGTATTAATAATAATGATCACTAATAACATTAACTTTTTTTAATGCAAACGTCTTAAACCCGCCTTTTTCTGCATGTCCAGCCTAAATCGTGATTACCTTCATTCTGAAACTGACAGTCTAATCTTGATCTTATGTCTACAACGCAACGGCCTCACTGGGCAGGACCTCCGTCACCCCGCGAGGACACAAGGTCCTCATAAATACATGACCACACGCTCACACGCTAAAGCATGTCAGACTCAATCAGGCAGCTCCAGGAGTAGCGAGCACAAACACATGCCCTACAACAGCAAAATGCACGACAGCCCCCACGGATGCATTCATGCATGCTCACCAGCTATAACGATACAATCTCTCTCTCTCTCTCACACACACAATGGGTGCTGTATGGATTGTTTACTGCAGGCACGATGTTGCATTTCTTGTGGGCGTTTGCATTTCCCTGCCCTTCACCCACACAAACCACTAGTTTCACTGTCAAGCAGCACTTCAGCTCCCCGCAGGCCTGACAGCTTTACTCTTTATTCAATACAGCAGCCGGGCGCTGATAAATCCAACTGGACATATAGGATTGATTGATTAAATGCTGCAAAGATAAAAGCTAACCTAAGAAAGTAGCAGAAAGAAGGCAAAGAAGAAAAAAAGGCTCTGATACGTCTGAACTGTCCTCCGGGGGAAATTTGACTTTGTGCGTTGTCATTTTAACCAAATATCCAAAAACAGTGTTGAGGAATTAAATAAAGCGACACATTTCCAGGTCTCCACTCTATCTTCGTGTCATCAGAAGAGATGTTTTTAGGCAGTTTGACAGTTAATGAAAAATGGAGACTGTTTTGGGAGTTATTTGTTTTTGACTTCACAGTGATGTCAGAACAAAGAAAGACGAAGGCTGCTGATGTGATTATCCACCTCTTAGTGATAAAAACATCTAATCAGTGTTGTATGTTTTTCACAGGCTCTCCCAAATTGTAGCCAGCTCCTGGGGCAGATTTTATACGTGTCACTTCCTACAAGAGCTCAACATTTTATTTTTTAACAACACCAGGAAGCTGTGAATGGATGGATTAATACTCAGACGTAAAAATAAACACTAGTTTGTTTATCCTACGTGGCTTACTATTTTAATAAATAAAAAAAACGTCTGTAATGTTTGTTAGCATGCTTGTTAAAGGTTTGACTTTCTTCAGATTAACTAATGGGACATCTGTATATGAACATCTGTAAGCAGAGGATGTGGTTTTCTGATTGATTACTGACCACACGTGTTTAATCTGAGCAGAAATCAATGAAACACGCTGGGATGATTTTTCCAAGGCTACCTGGATGAAAAGCACGTGATGTCACAGACACACAAAAACCCTGCAGCACACTCGGCACTGTTTGTTCTGACTGCTGCATTTCCACAAACAAAAGTTTGAGAGCTCAGCAGAGTTTCTTTTTTAATGTGTGCTTTCTTCTCTTTTACATCGTGGATCCATTATGAGCCTCGTCTGTGTTTGCTCCGCGGCTCAGCCTTTAATCATTCTCGGCTCTCTGCCCATCAAACATTGATGCTTTGTGTTTCTGCCCAGTGATGACGAGCGTTGCCTGCGAAAAAGCTAATATCAAACACGCCGTGAATTTTTCAGAAGGCCTGAGGATGGAGGAGAGCTGGGATTTTGATGTTCTCACACACACACACACACACACACACACACACACACACACACACACACACACACACACACTGTTTTCTTGCGTTGTGAGAAAAAGTGAGTTTCCATTTTTATCTGTAAAAACTGCACATTTGTAGATCTAAAATATTAGTTTCTCTCGTGCTTCGGTTCGTGCTGGGACTGGTGAAATAACTGACCATCAATAAAACAACTTTGGTTTCATATTTCCTCTCCAAAGATCCCTTTCTGTTAATCCAAATCAGGTCAAGAACAAAAAGCAGAAGCCCAAAATGATTCGTATTAATTTTATGATTATTCAGAGACACCTCTGTGATATGAACAAAATTCTAAGTCTTGAATATAACTCATCAGAGTTCTGCATGAAGGACAGACTCGTTGCGGAGATGTAAAAATGCATGAATTTAAAGGTGAGGCCGTGCCATGGACGCTCAAGGCGGCTCACCTTCATGTGTCGTCGCCTCCGTCTGAAGCGCAGCAGCTCCTTGTGCTGGCGGGCGATGAAGTTGACGGCGGCGTACTCGAGCAGGGCCGAGAACACAAACAGCAGACAGACGGCCATCCAGATATCGATGGCTTTTACGTACGACACCTGTTAGTGGAGATGGGAAAGAAGAGGCCGTCAGAGGGTCTCTGTGCGTCGTGTCTGACTTGCTGATAAAAAAAAAGAAACCCTAATAAAATCTAACAAGCATCTAAAGATCATTTCACCCTGTTTGGTTTGAGGCTGGAGGCAGTTGATTAGAGAAAGTTTGTAAAGTCGGCTTCATTTTCAGTTCATGACTTTAAACTCCAAATGTTTTCTCAAATGACCAATTTACACCAAATAATGCTCCTGCGACATGAAAATAAGCGTTCATAAAGGAACATTTATTGCTGTAACTGATGCAGATAAGTGTGATTTATGCACTCATTGTACTGACAATGAGTGCATAAATCAGATGATATATGTGGGAACAAATACATTATTTTTTATTTTCAGCTCTGTGGTTTTAGATCTCAGGAGACGCTCCCTTCGTTTGAAATTTGGTATTTTCTGCTAATTTTTCCACTTTATTTTATAATGTTTCATTTACCCTCCAAAAAGACTTTAATGCATAAAGTCTGAAAAGGAAAAAGTGAACCCGTGTGTCCTCTGCTTGTATCAAAGTCAGAAACTGAGCCTACTGCTAACCTGATCTCAGTAAACACTCGCCATACTTTATCAGTACTTTCAGCTCAGCTACTTTCAGTAAATTTGATAAGTTAAAATCATTATTAGGACAGAAAGATAAACCAGGGTATGATCACTGGACTGTGACCACAGCTGGCTGCACCCCTCAACTCGAGGTTTCACAACAGATGTTCACTGACTGATGGATGACAGAGTGTATTTAACCTCCTAGGACCTGGCGTCCACATATGTGGACATTACATTTTGGGTTGTCTAGACCAAAATACTAAATCTTGCCCTACAGGGGCCTAATATCCACTTACGAGGACAATATACTGCCACTGTTCTATCGAAATTTTAAACAAATATCCTCATATGTGGATCTCATTTCTTTTAGAAACAAAAATCAGGTAAAAAAAAAAAAAAAAACTGGAAATTCTTTGCTTTTACATTCATCGGGTCCCAATATGCCCAAAGATCAAAGAGAAATTAAAAAGGCATGCCACGGAAGACTTCGGGTCTTAGGAGTTTAAATCAAAGACTGCAACAATTTGTGGGGCCGTTAATATTCAGAGTTATCTTCCACAGCATGTCTTTTATCATGTCTTCCTTCTCTCACCCCAACCGGTCGCAGCAGATGGCCGCCCCTCCCTGAGCCTGGTTCTGCTGGAGGTTTCTTCCTGTTAAAAGGGAGTTTTTCCTTCCCACTGTCGCCTCATAGGGGGTCATATGATTGTTGGGGTTTTCTCTGTATGTATTATTGTAGGGTCTACCTTACAGGATAAAGCGCCTTGAGGTGACTGTTGTTGTCGCTTGTATTTGGCGTTGTATAAATAAAACTGAACTGAATTATGGCATTCAAGTTATGGTTGGTGTATGTTTTTATCTGGCAGCAGGGCACTGGGACTTTAGTAAGTGTTACCGATCAGTGTAAGCTATTGTTGAAGCAATACGCTGTTCTTATAGAGCTTCCCCTGGTCACTCTAAAGCATAGGTGTCAAACTCTGGCCCGCGAGCCAAATTTGGCCCCCAGCCTAATTACATTTGGCCCTCGAAGCCATACCAAATTACTATTAGAGCTGGCCTACTGGTATTATACAGCTAATATATATATTGTTTAGTATTAAGCTTTGCTTGTTCCATATTCAGTTTTCCAGAAAAACTTATTTGAGTCCATAAGAAAATATTCATTCTTATATCTGGAGGAAGATTTTTGTTTCAATAAATATTAATGTTAGCCCGCAACTTTGTTCCAGTTTTGAATTTTGGCCCACTGCGTATTTGAGTTTGACACCCCTGCTCTAAAGGGTCAAACAAACGACCTAAAAATCCAAATAATCTGTTTCCCCAATGAAATGTGCAGATTTTGGCAAAGTGCTTTTTAACAGAGTTAAAGGATTTTATAAACATACTGGTTTCCTTCAGAAAGCATAAATGTTTCCAGTTTGCACACAATAGCAGAATGATTTCAGAAAAAACAACAGTGAACAGGGTGAATATTATAACTCCTGAAAAACTGACCTTTTCATTGAGCCACAGCACAAAGCACTGCTGTGCAATGATGTGCTTTAACTCTGTAACACTCAAAGCTGTAAAATCCAGTTCAAACTGACGGTTATCTTCCAGTTTACACTTGGTATAAAAACTTGAGCAGGGTTCAAGCCGTAACTGAGCATCACCAGTCCAGACCTGAGAAACAGAATCACTGATGCTCACAGTCAGCGGCTAAACTGGGCCTGAGTCATCACTTTGTCTTCCAACGCAACAACGACCCAAAACATATGTCGCTCCTGGTGAAGAACGCCCTCCAGAAGACCAAAGTGCCTGCACAAAGCCCTGAATGTGGGCCGAACTGGAGAAAAAGGTCCACGCCAGAAGATCATCACATCTGGAGGAGCCTGAGAGGTTCTCCCAAGAAGAACAGGCTGGGATTACTGAGGAGAGGAGTGAAGACTGCAGTAGATGACTGCAGGCTGTTATCCAGCTAAATGGACTGTTAGCTTCAGGGGTAATCATTACCCTGGTAGTTTTTGTTTTTTGCGAAATAATTTGATTTCTGTGTGCAAAAGTAAAATAATCTAAGCATCCAAATACATTAAAATACCTTAATTTCATAGTGGTCTGATAATCTGTACTCATTTATACATTTGTCTGCAATATCTGAGTGCACAGGAATGAGTGATGCTCTGTATCTTTATCGCAATAAAGGCATACGTGTAAAGGTATTTCCACTGTCTTGAGCTTAGACTACGAGGTTAAGGTGCTTTCACTACATTATTAAATTTACCTGACTGCATGCACAGCCAGGTGCACGTAAAACACAACACTGGGCCCAACTAGCTCACAGAACCAGTGAAATTACAGCAAGACGGCTAGGGCGAGGACTGTCCAGATAACACGGGCTAAATGAAGTCTGGTTGGATCATTGTATGATTGCTATCTGCCCGCCAAGTACCTTTATTCGAGTGCATTCGCCCGGCCTGTCATTACAACTCTTCATCTCCAAACGCAATTACAGCGTGCAGCCTGAGAGGGAGAACCTGGTCTGTTTCGCAGAGAGGAAGCCCACAATCAGCCGTTTAAAATCCAATTAAACTATGACTTTGGATCACTTTACACAAACACAGAGTGCTTATCATCGCCGTTCGACCTCGCTGTGATTCGTGCTCGTTTGTGCCGTTCATGAAAACGTTTATCTTCGAACGCCTGAGCAACTCCCTCCCCGAGCTGCCGAGAGGCCTCAACGCTCAGTGGGCACGCTCAGTGGTGATGGTCATCCAGCCAGAGAGACGGGGATGACTCTCCCACAAAAATGATTTCACAGACACTGAAAGAAGCTTTTCCTCCTTTGTGTGAAGCAGTAGAAACAATCTTCAAATCCTGCCCAGCACGCACGTTACCTTTTCATACATACTCATAAAATCAGCATGGACGATTTTAGAGGTCAGCTTTGCTTCCTGTGCTGCTTTATTTTGGACTGTATGGTTATGTTCATAAACTTGGGCAGATCCAGAAGTAAAAGAAGCTTTTGAATGACCCCTTCTCTAAAATAGTGCCTTCTCTGGTGCTGATTCTGGGAAGGCAGAGCATTAAGCGAGGTAAATGAAGCAGATGGAGAGAGAGTTTGCACCACACTGTTGGACAACACTTTATTTCCTGATGCTGTTTTTGTTTTACTGCCAACATGAAGCGTTATGAGTGACCACAGTTTTCCTTATGCTGCTGGTACAGATTTCTTAAATTAGCTCTCGCAGACTCTGCTTAGCTATGAAATCTGGCAGGACTGAAGCACACTAAACTCACGCTCTACATCCTGAGAGTGACTTGTGTGTTTTTACTGCATCCACAGGCGACTGTTAGCTCGGTGCTGCAGTATGATCTGTGTGAGGCTGAAAGCTCCTGACAGACAAACTGAGCAGTAGTGACCTGCTGAGCAGCTTAGGCGGCGTTACTGTACTCATGCTTCACAGGGCAAGGATCAAAAAAGAAGAAGAAGAAGAACTAGTGGCGGGCCGTGAGCTGAAAGTGCTGACAGACTGAGCAAGTGTCTGGAATACTGAGGGGGGATTTTCCCTTATTTTCTGCCATAATCATATTGCATTGAATGATTCCACAGGTTGAAATAATGAGGTAAAAATGTGTGTAAGAATAATCCACAGGAGCCTAAAACTCAGTCATCAGACATGATTGTTTTGGCCCAGATAGCACCCTCCATTGCTGTGACATCAGCGTGAGAGAGGAACGTGGTCAGCACAGCACAGTGACGTACTGCTGACGTAGCCCGTGTGGGTGGAGGCGACGCCTAGCTTCTACCCGTCTTTGTGTGACCCACTCACAGAGGCATGGGGTAGCTTGGAAATCGTTTGGGGCACATGAGTAGAGTAGCTGGATAGTCTAGTGTGAACACTTGGGAACAACAGATTGGAGTTTCAATCCTTTCACGCATCTACAAAATGTCCCCAGGCTAACCTCATCCTGATAAAAGCGACAGATAACTGAAGCATACCGGTTCATATGTGGCCCGATCAGCAAGCTCCATATCAAGTCTTCAGGATGAGAGGACAAACTGAGAAGTGGGCTAGTGGAATACAACGTACATGGAACGGGAAAATGTGGGAATGATGGATGGATAGATGATCTTTCAGTACTGAACAGATGATGTTTTTTTCTGTGCTAATCTGTAATGTAAGATAATCTGACCATCCTTCTTTTTTAATTTCACCAAAGTTGACATTAAACTTGGATTAATAACAGATCTCCCCGCAGTCATCCTTCACCTGTTCAGATTTCCAGCACAGTTCTGCTGACTCAGCAGCACTCTGAGAACTCTGAGAGGGGCTTCCTCAGCATCGAGTCACGACTGGACTGAAGGTTTCTGACGGGGCATCAGCTGTTCATGCATGCAGCATCACGCAACTGAGCTCCCTGTCAGAAGATCAATGCATCGATCCTTTCTTCACTGAGAGACAGAAAAGAAATATCATCATAAATACTAAAGAAGGATGTAGTTTCCACACAGCCAGTTATCATCCCTGATGTGTCAGAGAAGGGGCTCAAAGTTTTCATAACCTGGTACTGAGGTCTTGGTCCTGGCTCCCCACAGAGGGATGCTTGTTCAGAAATTTAAACACACGTGTCACAACACGCTGGGTTATTATGTATTCAAGCTGTTCCTAAAACTGATCAGACATTTTTCAGGGGCTTAAAACTAACTGAGCAGAGAGGGAGTGAAGGCAAAGGAAATAAAAGTGAAGACGTGGAGACAGAGGCGTGCAGTCGGTTTTGCTGAGAAGCTTACGCCAACCCCACCTCTCCTGGTTCCTTGTCTTTCGGTTGGGGCCGTAACGCTCATAGCCGCTGTTTGTATCCTGGCAGCAGCAGAACCGAAGGAAACGTCTGCATATTTCTGCGATGTCTGTACTTTCTCACAAAAAGGATCTGCAGCCCTGAGATGAGAGCACCCTGATCTGAATCAGTGAAGTCAGCCCCTCTCTGAAAGGCAGGTATCATAAAAGCACAAGTCCACTGCTACAGGTGAACTGCAGCCACCCCAGGTCTGTGGCTGGAGCTTAGAGGGTACAACAACATGTGTCCCAATAATGGTACGATAAGTAGACGTGGAGAGAGTCATACTGTGTGTGTACTGTGCTGTATATGGACAGCATGATCAGCTGAGCAGAGATCTCGCCTCGTGTCCACTTCCATCTGCTCTGATCTGACAAGCTGCAGCAGAAACATCTGAAGAGAGCCATATGTGTGTGTGTGTGTCTGCTATCAATCGCACACAGAACACTGTGAGAACACTCACAGAACACTGTGTGTCTGTGTGTGTGTGTGAGAGAGGGAGCAGCATGCCCACCTAAGCTCAGCTGTGCTGTGTGATCATTATTGTGACAGCTGAACTGCAGAGGAATCATGGTTCACTTGTTCAATTTTTAGAGCGCATGAAGCACCTAATGTCAACAAACAGAGTGTGTATATGTGTGTGTGTGTGTGTGTGTGTGTGTTTGTGTTGGGGATTACAGCTTTCCTGGACATAATTATACAATCCTACTAGCTCACGCAGACCCTGACCATTTTTTCACTTTAATCTGAAAATCCCTGACAGTAAAAGATTCCTCTCGCTTTCTAAAACATATTGTCTCCATTTTTGTCTCCTTGAACCTTCTTTGTTAAAGGTCTTTTTTTAAATTCTTCCTTCTTTCATCCCTCCATCTGTCTGCCTCTCGTCTTCCCTCCACTCTGTCTCTAATTTGTCAGGGAAAAGGAAATTTTTCTTTCCCTCCCATTGATTTATCTTTTCCCTTCATTCCAACTTTTCTTCAATTAATTCCTCTCTGTCTACATCGTCTTTGTCACTGCCTCTGTCATTTATGTCCCTTAATTATCAGAAAAAGCTGTAGGCCTTCCTTCCAACAGGGATGAAAAGACATCTGTCATTAAACGGCACGTCATGCATACAAATTCTTCCTGCCGTTGCCTCATATTTTACTTTGTTTTGGTGTTTTTGGGGGTGTGACAGATGAAAAACAATATCTGTAAAGGTAAAAGTCAACAGATATGAAAATAAGCTTACGGATAAACTATCAGCTCAAACCTGAAAGTTCATCACAGGAATAAGATGATTTTGTTTCTGTCTTTATACAGAGCTAAGTACTGAAGAAGAATCAGTAGAATATTAGCTTATTATAAACACTGGACTGGAACATAAAAGGCATAAAATAGCTAATTCTGTGATTATCCTGTGGCTTTCTTGTATCTCATCATTACAAGCTATCATATGAATAAAATTCTTGATATAGGAGTTTTATGTTTTTTTTAATGTTTTTATTTATTTTTATTTTTATGTATTTTTGCAGTTTTTAGGAAAAAAAAAATTAATGACACAGAGGTCTCAAAAAATCACACAACCCTGTGAAATGTTACAGGGTTAAGGAATACAAACCTTTAAAGTGGCTCCGTTCTGCTGTTTCTTATTTCCTGTCTGCTGTTCCAGTTTCCAATAATGAGCCAAAACCTCGAGCGTTACAGTTTCTTTCTACTCGTAGCTCTGTATGACGTCTATATGATATTATTGTATTCTCAGGCACCTGGCTATGAGTGTAAAAGCTGCACCCTCCTGCTGTTAATACCTTCCATTTGGGAGGGGAAGACAATCAGATGGAAGGTCATTGTAAGGGGGAGGAGCTAAAACAGCTTGTTTCAGACAAGCACTGAGAAAGGATTATTTTAAACTGTGAATCATGCAAAGCTGCTCTCTAAGAGTCCAGGAATAAATGAATTAGAAATAAGGTATGTTCATGAAGTCCAAGCAGACTACAATAATGAGTGATTTGTCCTCACCTTGGGCAGAGAGGCTCTTGAACCAGAGCTCTGCGTGGTCATGGTCAGCACGGTGGTGATGCCCAGGCCCACCCGGGCGGGCGCGGCGTCCATGTTGATCCAGAAGGAAACCCAGGACAATATAACTATGAGCAGAGAGGGGATGTACATCTGGATCAGGTAGTAACCCATCTGACGCTCCAGGTGGAAACGAGCCTCGATACAGGTGAATTTACCTGGGAGGTGGGGGACAAAGAAGTGTCTTTGATGAGGTCGGAGTTTGTGGGCGAAGAGATATGAGACAACAGAGCAGAAGATATGAGAAAGGACAGCAGTTTCTTTGGGCTCGTCCTGTCGAATGAGAAGAAAGAGAAGGGTGAGGGTGACAAATGTCCTGTTACTGCTGCTTTGAGTGAGCACACCAGCTTATTTACTATTAACACATTCTTGTCTCAGCTGATCACATACTAACACATCAAAACCCACTGGTGTTGTATTTTATAGAACTGTGTGGACCCTTTAGCTTGTGCTGTTGATGTGCAGGGCGCATGCAGGAATGCCAGGGTGGTCAGGGAAGTCTAATCTTTTATAGTAGAAATACTGTCTGTCTCCCGAATCCAAACTGGAAGCTGGTTCCACAAAAGAGGGGCCTGAAAACTGAAAGCTCTGCCTCCCATTCTACTTTTAAATACTCTAGGAACAACAAGTAAGCCTGCAGTGTGAGAGCAAAGTGATGGTAAATGGACTGGTTCTCATATAGCACTTTTCTACTCTTCTGAGCACTCAAAGCACTTCACACAACTTGCATTATGCATTCACATTGTTCTAAGTAACATTCACACTCTGATGGATGCATCAGAGAGCAATTTGGGGTTAATGCAGACTAGGGGAAGCCAGGAATCGAACCTCCAACCTTTCGATCAGTAGAGGACCTGCTCTACCACCTGAGCTACAGCCACCCCTTGGTCAAATGGAGTGATATGGTACTATAAGGTCATTAAGATAACATGGGGCCTGATTATTAAGTACACCCTCTCGCAACACTAATCATCTTCATTATCGTCGTGAAGAGTCCTGCAACCTTGTCTCGTGAATTCTACTTCAGTGTGTTTCAGAGGGACGAGGTGGGTTGCAAAGTGGCTTGCAGATGGGCAGTGCATGGTGCAGTTTAAACATCGGAGTCATCAGGGATTATGGAATTAAGGGATTAACTTTAAATTCTGTGTCAATAACAGAGAGAAAACCCGAAGAATCACCAAATTAACCACAAGCCCTGAGTTCAGTTTCAGAGCAAGAGATGGTGGTCACAGATCATGGCATGTAAAAGTAACAGTGCCCATTTTTGCTGTTCTTATCTTTAGCGTTTTTTAAAGCAACTGGTTTGGTTTTTAATGAGATGGCTTACGACTCGCATAAGATTTTCTCTCCACAGCTTTATATTCATGGAGCCAGTCATTTTGTGTCGGTAGGTGTTCCATTTTCACACGGAAATCTCATTTGGAGAATGATTGAACTTGCAACACATAAAGCACACAGCGCTGATTCCAGGAAAAAGAAACGACGCTGGTCAATGTTTAAACAAAAGCAAAATGTTCTTTCATCAGTTTCCCAGAGGCAGTGCGGTTCCATTATCACCGAAGAGTGTTACTGAATTCTCGATTATCTTCATTTGAAAGGGCACATTAAACATTGGCAAAGGCACATCTCCTTGAAGAACAGGTGGAAATGATGAGACGGAGGGTAAATTAAAAGAACAACAAGCACAGATTGGAGGAAGCAAGGAAACAAGAGCGAGGGGGAGAGTAAGAGAAGGAAGGAAGGAGCTCTCAGACTGAAAAAAGGATGAGCCACAGAGACGATGCTGACGTCTTTGAGACAAAATGTCATCTTCCTTCAGCGCTCATGCTAAGCCAAAGCAGAAAATCAGAGAGACATACGGGGGCTCGCCAAATATCAAAGGAAGCCAAACATGTGGCACATCTGAAAACAAACCCAGGAGGAGGTTTGGGATTCAGCCTGCCACTCACAGAGTGTGAAGAGGAGCGAATCATTTCCATCTTCACAGCACAGCAGCGTTTTTCATCACTCTAAGAGGACAAAGTGCACAGTTTATTTTAGTCTAAGAAAGAGAAGATGAGGCATTGTGTTTAACACACGAATCCATCAGCAGCTAAACACAACCAGGAATAATCAGGTTTATCAAAACCAGCAGCTCAATAAAAATATTCAAAATATCCTGTTTACAGTCCAAGTTAAACAGGTGAGTTCTGTCCCTCTGCAGGTGTCGTGACGAAAGAAATTATCTATAAAGACAAAAACAGCATCAGGCTGTAAACATGCTTATTTCTGCTGCAAAGGTTCAACATGGGAGTCTATGGAGACTGACTCACTGCTGGAGCCTCTAGTGGACAGTAGAGGAACTGCAGCTGCTGGCTTCATTTGCAGCCCTGGAGGTCACCTCTGGAGTTTAAAGTGTAAAGAAATGATGCTCTGAAAGTATCTGGTGACCTGAGCCAAGCTTCATATCAGCTGCACTGAAGACACATCTGTTATAACGGCTGCATCAGTGTTGTGCTCATCTTTACATGAGCTTTATGTCCTGCAGCGTCCTGCTACTTTTGGCTGTTCAGTTTTATTTTAGAAAAGGCTAAAGTGGTCAGCTGAAACCCGACAACTGTATGACAGAGGAGGGAAAGCACTAATTATTTAACTACGGGGAGTAACGATGTGTACTCTCAGACGGTTCCACTCCAAACGAAGATGGCTCCATTGAGACGTTTGCATTTTCTTCTCTGTACATCTGTCTAAATGCTAACTGAAGCAGGCCAGTTTGCTGGATTGTTGGTTTTGGAAAAGTACATCTGTGAATAACTCCCACAATTATGACCAACTCTGTTATTCCCCAACAGGCACAAGTACTCTGCCTTTTTTCACTCATTCAGGAGGCTCGGAGTTGGACACATCTTCATAAATCAGTGATCAAACAGTCACGTCCATCTTATCCGTCTGAGTGTTTCTCCGGCACGCTTGTTGTGTCTGTGTAGAAAAATGAATTTATTTGTCTTTGTCGAAACGTAGGACCGTGAACTGGATGTTTTTGTCCTACATCGCCTCACAAAGCAGCACTTTAACTTGACTTTGTTGCCTTCTTAAGTCAGCGCACTACATGCAGTGTGCTGTTAAAAGCCCGCTGATGCGTTTCCCTTGTTGTACCTGCCAGAAGCACTGCTCATCCTTTTGAGGGGAAGCTCTGGATGTTTATGCTCACAGCATGCTGCCGTGAAAAGGGAGTGCAGAGATTAGGAAGAACAGAGTCAGGACCTACTTCTCCTAATCCCTTTGCTCATGCTGTACTACACTGCACAGCAGTACAAGTACACACTGTGCTTTAGTTTTAGGCACTTTAGATTTTTAGATACTTATCCGAATTCATTCTGCAGCATCACTGTGGTCCCGAACATAGAGCCCGACAGAAAGAAGCTTCTGCAGACACAAGAAAACGTGTAAATCCTACAGCAGATGGCGAGAACCCCCACAGAGGCCTGATCTCAAAAATCACAGAGTCAGTCTGGTTTTACATGAGACAGTCATTCATCTTTTTCTGTTTACAGGATGCAGTCTGGAGTTTATTTGGAATAAATAAAAAAGTATTCATGACATTATTTCTGACATCATCCATACTTTGTACAAACCTGGAAGCAAACACCCTTAAAAGTTGAGAAATTTCGGTCTCGGTTCCTGTTTGTGTTTTTTATCCTGGTTATATTTTCACTCAGTTATCTGACGCGTATTGCTTTGTTCCAGAAAAAGATGCGGTCCACTCTCGCTGTAGATCCTAGATGAACACTGCATTCGTTTCTACTGTTTGTGAGAGCAAACTACATTTTCTGGGTTTTGACGGAGTCTCGGGAAGAAGAAGGTGTGTCCAGATGAAACATCATCAGAACTGATTTGACAGATGTGATATGACAAACCTCTTATTGTAAGTTCATCATAACAATTCTTAAATGAAATGTTTGAAATCAACAGCAAAACTGTGCAGCTGCTGTTTTTGTGGTTTCCTGCAGTAAAAACTGACTCCAACAAACAGGATCATTGAGACCAGTTATCTGTCCAATCCTGTCAAAACTGGCTCACAGTGAGTCTGCTGCACTTGTATCTCATTCTTTTGGTCACAGCAGCATAGCTGCACAGCTTTACTCTTCACCACGGCAGACCAGTACAGCCAGTCCACATCACCACATCACTGCATGAGATTTGGGAATATTTTATCATCTGAAAAGTGTCTTTGCTTGTAAACACATACAGAGACATCATCTAATATCAGTTTGAATGCCTCTGTGATACCTTACCGACACCTGAAGTTAGCTAATTAAACATTTTTGTTAGCACAACTTGTAAATCAAATGTAAAGGTTTATTTTCTGTGGTGATGTGGACTGGTTGTACTGGTGTGCTGTGGTGAAGCTGAGTGTGAAACTAAAGCCTTAATGGTTAATCTGCTGTCCTCACATGCTACCATGAGCTCTGGGTAGATACACCCTCCGTAGGGTATCTGCTGCTTCTCCACACTGACCAGGATGCCTTGTCTCTGCCATGAGGTGTTTCAGGATGTCCTAGTGCTGTGCTCCTCTGCTAAGTCTACTGCCCCTTTGACCCGGATCCAGATCAGCAGGAGAAGATGGATGGATAAGTAATGGTATGCTAAGCATTATGCTTATGCTAGTTAGCCACGCCGGGGTCCTAACAGTGATAGCTGTAATGCTTTGGTTTTCATCTCTGGATGACAGTAAATGGTAAACAGGCTGGTTGTTATATATGGTCTGTTAAAGGTTAAACATTATTTTCAAATCTGAAATTCTAGCATTTAAAATGCAGACTGCAGTGGGTTTATTTGCATTGCAGCACTGTAGCAACAGTAACCGTGTCCCTCTGCCTCTCTGTAATGTAATGAGCACACTGGGTCTCATAATAAACCACAGAGAGCGAGATGGCCGAAGATCCATTTAATCAAAGACGATCAATGCACGGTGGTCTCATCAGTTAGAGTTAACCCTAAAAGACTGGAGAGAGGAGGAGTGAAAGGAGGGAGTGACCGAGGAGAAGAAGGACGTCAAGTGGAAAGTCTGAGAAACTTGAGGATAGAGCGAGAGGAGAGAGGGATGAGGAGGAGTGGAAGATACAAGAGGGAAGGAGAGAATGACGACAGCAGGAGGAGGAGGGGGGTGAACTTGATTTATAGCTGTGATACACTTCAGAGCTTTTAAGTGCTGTCCATATTTTCTATCTGATAAGAAGATTGAAATTATTCAGCCAGGCCCATATCTCACTGTGTGGAAGATGTGTGTGTCTCTGCTGTACTTAACACTGTACATGAACTCACACCATTCATGTGTGTGTGTTTAAATCTGTAAATTCACTCATCCCCTGCAACAGAGGTGGCATGTATGTAGGTTTACATGTTTCTGTACTATGTCACACTCCGTCTTCTCGGCCTGACTGAGAATCAGAGACACACCAACAAAGAAGAACCAGCACGCCCGCTCTTTAAATATTTCAAAACTCGTATTGATCACAAAACCAACCTGTAACCTGTTTTAAACACCTGCTCAGAACTCATTCTGATTGGCTCGCATTTCCTTAACTGCGCTCTACCTGCTTCGCTGTCTCCTGTCTGCCTCTATAAACTGCAAATGTGGAAATATCAAAAGTGAAAATGCATGGTTCCTGAACAGTGAAGGCAATTTAACGGTGAAGACAGCTATGCTAAAGGAGAAGATTCTGTCAAGTCCTCGTTCAGAGTTTTAGTTTTAGGAATGTTTGCTATGATAAACAGCCAGATTCATTCAGCCACAGCTGAAGCTGCAAGGGAAGACGCGCGAGGGAAGACGTAAAGAGTCAAACTAACCACTCTCAACTTTGTGGCAAGTTATTAATATTATTATTATCATTACTGTTATCATTAAATCCTGTATTGAAACAGGTCATCTCACTGAGATGGAGATCTCTTTTTCAAGACAGACATGCACAAAAACCAGAGGTGGGGAGAGTAGCCAAAAATTGTACTGTAAGTAAATGTAACTGAGTAAATGTAATTATATACTACCCACCTCTCATAAAAGCCACACAAACACTGAGACTTCCTGTTTATAGAGGAAAGAGTGACGAGTAAAAGCAGACAGCTCAGTTGCTAAAACGTGTTACAGTAGTATAAAACAAGCAACGTAAAACGTGACTCTTCTTCAGTATCGACCCAAGCACTGCTAATAATCAACATCCAGTTACAGTTCAAGTCTTAAGCTCCATGGAGAGAGCCCAGACCTCCAGCACACCTTTTACTTCACCCAGTTGTAAATGTGAAGCTTTACCGATTTTCACATTTGATGTGACCTTGATGTGTCTTACAGTCCGTCTTACAAACAATCTTTAAACTATGAGCCAGGAACACATCTTCAAACATTGATTTGAACTGTACAGATTTTGAGGCGCATAACCAGGACGTTGTTCCACACACTGAAACCTGCTCAGCTTGTGTTTTAATGACAGCCGCTGCCGGTGGGGACAAAGGTCTCACAGGTAGGAAGGGTTAAAGTAACGAGCTCGAGTCTTTCAGCCTGCTGCTTTGTTGGGCTGACTCGCTCTTGTTCTTGTTCCTTCGCTCGTTGGTTCAGGCACTATAAATACCTGGTTAGGCTTCGGTTAGTTTGGTTTAAAACACGCCCCTTAACAACAGTAACCCTGTTCTTCTACTGATGCTGTAAAGCAGGAAGGACACGGGCTGGGTCAATGAGCCAGGCCAGCACTAATTGACACCCCCGGGATGAGATGAAGCTGTGTGTCCACACATCTCAGGTTGTACTGAAAAAATAATATGAGGTGCTTGCTTGTGTGTTGCATTACTTAATTTATACAAAAACAACATTTAATGAAAAACAAGGAGCACGAACCTGGAGAGCTAATGAAAGTGAGACGATTGTACAGATGTGTAAAGTTAAAACATCAGTTTTAGACACCGGATGTACCGAGCCACTTTCAGCAGGAGACGAAGTGGAATATGGACAGCCTGACGGCGGGGATTCTTCATGTCGATGTCAATTAAGAACCAGGTGAAGGCTGAGAGAAGCCACTCTGCAGGCGTTAGGCTATTAACAGCTACCTCACGAAAGCGTACCACGAACGTATCGTTAGCCAGAAACAAAGTGCCCTGCAATGCAGCAGAAAGTGTAATTAGTATTTCAAACAGGGCTTTTTATGTGTGTGCTGGAGTGGACGGAGGGAGGGGGGGAGCTCCCTCGCTCCTGGAGTCACAATAGACTGCAGCTAATAAATCTGAGGAACAATGACACCTTAATTCCCTCTTAATGCTTGATTGGGAAGACGCGACGCAAACACACGCCAACACACGCTCGTGGCAGCACGCACGCGAGCGCAGGCAGAGATTGTTACAGAGGAGATAGAGAGGAGGGAGGGCGGGGCAGAATGTTGTCCTTGAGCAATTCACGTGAAAATGCAGACGCGAGCTGCACAGGTGCAGAGAGGCTCCACACAGAGCTTTTTAGCTAATTGTTTTGGTAGTGCCACGTTCAGCCTTACTACTCGCCAACCACTGGGGGTGTGGCTAAAACGCTGGCTCACCTAAAGCGTCTTCATGGAGGCAGGAAATCTGTTCAGAATTTTTAAGGAAGCCCGAATAATTGTTGAAGTCTGCTGTTGGTCTCTGCTGTACTAACATGAAATGCCCCTCTGAGCCTCTCTCCAGTAAAATGGACTCAGGTGAATCTGAGTATGAGAAGTGCTGTTTCTCTGTGCTCTGGGTTTAATCTTTAGTCCTTAAAGCTTTCTTTGAGTCTTTGAATTAAATATTGATACTGACGATCCATTAACTGTGCGGACGATGTATGACGCTTTTAAATGCACTCAGAATTTCAAACTGTTTGAAATACAGTTTAAAAAAAATTAAACAGTGGAGGAATTAGTTATTAATCACCTCTGACTCTCTCCCACACCGTGTCTTGGTGTGTCTTCCTCCTCTCAACCCCGAGTACGTGTGCTTATTTAAATTTGTGATTGAAGAAAGAAATAAGTTACAGCAGATTAGCGATGCTACCCTCCTTAAAAAGAAACAAGTTTTTGGGTTCTAGGTCTTTGTAGTTTTATATTTGGGGTTATGTTGGGATTAGGGTTCTATGCTGTGGGTTATATTCCCACTATTTCTTTTGTGTTATGTGTTGTGTTTACTTCCTGATAAAGATGCTTGACATAAGTGTCTTATGGTGCTTTCAGTTGTCAGCTTCAGTTATTCCATATTTAAAAAATATTTAACAGTGACAATGAGACGGAGATACTGGGACAAACGAAAGTCTCCCAAAAGCTAAGACAAGGAAATGTAACGGAGTGTTTGTAGCGCTCGGCTTCACTCTGACTTTGTATATTTGAGAAGAGCTGAATTTGAGTTTTGGGGATCTGTACTTGAATAGTTAATGTTGCTGATCAGTTTAAATTTATTGATTGATTTTGTTTAATTTTATTTTTCAGAATAAAAGTTGGTTCAAGTTGGTCAAAATGTTTTACACTTTAAATAAGGATTTATTTTATTTGAGACAAATGAATGCACTTTAAAATGTAGTAGTAGTTTAGAGAGTTGCAGTACTACTGCATGTACTATGTTTTAGGTTAATCTATATTTCTTTCTTTTTTTTTCTTTAAAAAAGGACATCTTTAAAAGATGGACTTATTTTATATATTATTTTAACAATTTTATAGACAAATTATATTATTTATGGTCGCGGGGCGAGTTGGGGGGCGTGAAATGTTTTCTTCTTCCTAAGGGGGGCGTAACAGGAAATATTTGAGAAGCACGGCGTTATGGAGGTCCTTGCATTCCTCTGTGTTCTCAGTCTGTTCCTCTAGCCTTGTCTCTGTATCGTGGCTCTCTTCCTGTTTTATTTCGGTGACTGCTGTTCTCTGTGTGTTGTCTTTACCTCACCTGTGCCCTCGCTGTCTGAGATCAGTGTGTTGTCCCTCCTGAGTGTGAGTTTTCCCTGATCCTCCTTGTTCTGGGTTTCCTGCTCTACAAATGCTCATTTTTAAGTTCATCACGGTTTCCTGAATCCTCCACTCTCTGCCTGCCAGCACAGCCAGTTTATAACAGCAAGTTATGTTGATTCTGGTGTAAATTTTTTCTGCTGTCTTTCATCAATAGTTCACTTTAAAAAAGACTCTAACTTCAGTTTACTGAAATATGATTCAATCAGTATTTGATGTCCACACTGCAGCTGAACCACTTTTTTTTATCTACAGTGATTCGGGAAAGATCCTGGAAACAGCTGATATGTATTCATGTACCAAAGCTGTGGATTATCATCACTTCATTGTCTTTGTGTGTGTGTGTATGAGGAAGAGTGCGTGCGTGTGTGTGTGTGTGTGGGTGTGTGTGTGGGTGTGTGCAGAGTTGTGTCAAGGCTTTTCGTCTGGAGGAGGATCATTCATCTCCTGAGTGTCGACAGCAGATGTCAACCTCTGTGTGAGTGATGCCTCTGAATGGAAACTAATCAGCCTGCTACACACACACACACACACACACACACACACACACACACACACACACACACACACACACACACACACAGAAATGGACCTGTCACGTTTGTGTTTTTGTTGAATTATGTGTCCCTCAGATTGTGACTCACGGTCTTTGTGTTGCTTCGGTGAGAACAGCAGTAAAGGGCAGCTGGATTCTGATATACTGTCTGACATAGAAGTAAAGGTACGTAAATGATTATTCAGTTATTATACGGAGGAATTTGTTTGTCATTCTGATCGTTCTTCTTTATCATTTGGACCCAAAATACAAACGCTGAATTGTGATTCCTCCACCCTCAGCTCCACGATGCCCCATCAATGCGCCCCCTCACACCTCACATACTCTTCAACCTCTAATGTTTCTGTTTAATCTAAGTTATCATTATTATTATTATAGCTATGTATGCTTTTCTATTTTAGGCTGCTGGCTCATGCAGATAATACAGATTTATATTTTTATATTTGGTGTTTTTTCTGGAGTGTAAGGATCGTGGGCTCGCTGTGTGGACCGGACAGATGGTTTTCAGCCACGCTTGGAGGACCTGGAGGGAGAAACGGAGCGCGGCAGCCGCCCCCGTCCTCTATCGTCTCCAGCAGCTCCTCTGTGGTTTCTCTTCTTCGGGATTTCGTTGTATTTGATTTTTTGGCTTCGTGATTTCGTGTTTCTCTCGCTGCCTGCTCAGTGCTGTCACTGTCTGTGTCTGTTTATTTTGTTTGATGCTCGATGACTGAAAAGCACTTTGGGTCACCTCCTCATGTTTTCATGTGCGCTGTAAAAAACATTACCTGACGTCTTGTCCACGTGCACGATCGGCGTTGTGTCGATTCAACGTTCTCTTCCTGTTTATCTTTTCCTATTTAGTATTTCCCTCTTTATATTTTTGCACATGATGCTTTTTAATTTCACAGTTTTCTGGTTATGAAACCAGACAAAATATTTAAATCCAACCCCCCCGTCATTTCAAACTAGCTCTGCTGCCTACAGTGTTGTCCTTTCACTGAGGGCTTCATAGCACAAGGAAAACAAACTTTCAGTCCACTTATTTCCATATTTCACAGAATAAAATAAAAGTGAAGACCTGTCTCTGACTCATGCAAGATTTCTGCACATTTCTCCTGTTTACATGATTTTAGAATATCTCTCTCAGTAAATTGTGAGATATCACCCCCTCCTTCCTGAACCAGAGACAAACAGAAAGAAGGAGGAGGAACCAGACAAAGAGACCGAGGAAGGCTGACGCGTAGCGAGGAGGAGTGAGAAACCATAAAATTCAACCTGAAGCTTGAGGCGGGTTTGGTCCTCAAAACTGAAAATATCCAAGTCAACTTCATCACATTTCCTATGCACACAGCATTACAGCAGTTTGATGTTAAGGTAGCTCAGAGAAGCACATTTTACCTGCAGCTGGTAACCGAAATCATTAGCGGTGCTCCCGCTGAGCTAAGCTCGGTATTTCACCGAGCAACGGAGAGAGAGTATCAGAATGCAGCTGTTTGGCGTAACGTCTCAGGAAAGCTGGGATAGCGATCAGTTAACCTCCTGCTGATTAAATACAATTATTTGCTTTTCCAAAAGCTTTGAGTTGGAACCGAGAAGATCACCTGAATATGTAAAAAAAATCTATCAGTGCATGAACAGAAAATGGATTCTGAGGCAACAGGAGGAGAATAAAAAGATCTGTTTGCTTATAATATCAGCATCACAGCCCAGCTCTGAGATGGTTTTATCCCGTTGTTCTCATGGAAACTGAAATGTTTAAGTAATCATTGATATTGATGAATAGTTCTCTCTGTGTTAGCCCTGCCATCGACCCTGAATTAGATAAGAGAAAGAAAAAAGATTCTGTATTTGTTTGGGTTGTTCTGGCTGTGCAGAGCAAAGGATCATGGGTATGCAGCCTATGAAGATGTCCCATCGCATTAGTGGATCGCTGATTCTGTCCGGGGAACCTGAGTGGCTCAGACGAGTTCAATTCAATTTTATTTATACAGCACCAAATCACAACAACAGTCGCCTCAAAGCGCTTTGTATTGTAAGGCAGACCCTACAATAATGCATACAGAGAAAAACCCCACAATCATATGACCCCCTATTAGCAAGCACTTTGGCGACAGAGGAAAGGAAAAACTCCCTTTTAACAGGAAGAAAACTCAGAAGAATCCCCCCGCAGCCTACGCCTATGCAGCATAACTAAGGGAGGATTCAGGGTCACCTGATCCAGTCCTAACTACTGTATATGCTTTAGCAAAAAGAAAAGTCTTAAAAGTAGAGATAGTGTCTGTCTCCTTAATCCAAACTGGAAGCTGGTTCCACAGAACAAGGGCCTGAAAACTGAAGGCTCTCCCTCCTCTTCTACTTTTAAATACTCTAGGAACAACAAGTAAGCCTGCAGTGTGAGAGTGAAGAGCTCTAATGGGGTACTATAAGGTCATTAAGATAAGATGGCTTCACGCCACTACAGAGATGCTGCATGTATGCGGTCCTTTCTGGCTGCACCGTAGCTCCGCTAACGAACAAACCGCAGCACAAACGAGCATATTCCTGGCTACTCCATGTGTTTCTCACTCCACCTGTAACATGAAGAACTGCGCATAAAGCCAAGCCACATCATTTTTATGAACCCAACCAAGGAATGAATATGAGAGAAAACAGCATCTAAAAGTGAAGATGAAGACTAGGGGCAGGTCTCCAGGTTCAGACCTCTTTATACTAACCTTCCTCCTACAACAAGCAGTAAAAAAGTTTGGTGAACATCATTCTGCATCAGTTTCTCTCACCTGTGTTGTAGTGCTTGGTGCAGTAGCGCAGGTCCTTCTCTTCTTTCAGAATGAACTGAGGTAGTGTCAGCCCGTCGGCGACCTGCACGGCCCCCTTCTTGTCCCATTCGAATATTAGGTCGTTCATGGTGTAGCCGACTGGAGGAGGGAGCAATGAGCGGGAGGTTAGGCTATTTCATCACTGCAGAGGTCAGTTCTCATCCTCTGAGGAGGAACTGGACCTCTCTGTATCTGGCAGGGGTGCAAAGTCACACCCTGCAGTTTTAGTGGTTAAAAGGCCAGTTCAGCACAACAATCACAATCTGTATTGGCAATAAAATCCACTGAAGTAGTGAGGGAGAAAGTCTGAGCTCAGTGTTTGGGAAACTTTAAAGGCTTCTGTATTTTCAATTAAAGAAGCAAAAGAATGGAAAGAAGAAATAAAATAGGACGTAAGGAAGAGAAGGCGAAGAAAGGAAAGAGGACAGAGGGAACACAAAAAGGAAGAAAATCAAGCAAAAAAGACCAAAGCAGCACTCTGGGAGGCTGTGGAGTTTAAACGATGGTACTGAGAGTCACACCAGTAGCAGCCTGAACATGGACACAGGCAGGATGGATCCATGCTTTAAACTTGTCAGACCAGGAAACATTTCTCTAGTTTCTGTTGTCCGGGTTTGAGAGTCTGTGTTAGCCATAGACTCAGTGTCCTCTTCTTACTGACAGCAGTGACACTGGTGTGGTCGTCTGCTGCTGGAGCCCATCTGCTTCAAGGTTCAGAGATGCTTTTCTGCAGACTTTGGTTGTAGCGAGTGGTTATTGGAGTTATTGCTGCCTTCCTATCTAAGCAGTCTGTCCATCCTCCTCTGACCTTAGCGAGTCATTTCCTCCCACAGAGCTGCTGCTGGCTGGTTATTTCCTCTGAGCTCAGAGATGGTTGGAGATCAGTGTGTGAAACACTCAGACCAACAACCATGCCACATTCTTTCTTCATCATTCTGATGCTCGGTCTGAATTTCAGCAGCTCGTCTTCACCGCTGAGCTGCTGCCGTGTGATTGGCTGATTATATTAATGAACATTAATGAACAGGTGTGCCTAATAAAGTGTCTGGGGAGTGTAAATATCAGTAATATATACAGAGAATTACTTTATGCCTTAAAACTAACTGGTGGCTTAACTAGTAAATGTGTTATTTATAAACAGCGGTAAAAAGCGACTTTATGATGTTTTGGTGTCTGTTTCACAAACTCAGAGACGACTGCATTGTTCTGTCTTTGATTTACGATCACTGACCCTCTGCAGATGTACTTCACACTCGCTGCTGGGATTCCTCTCACGTCTGCTCAACAATAAGACCACAAGAAAAATCTATACCATATCTCTCACTCTGCCAGCTGCTGTTACTGATCAAATGATGTGTGTGTCTGTGTGTGTGTGTGTGTGTAATTACTCACAGCTCTCCAGCTGCATGATGCAGGTCTGGACGTCCATTGGAAAGTTCTTCAGATCCATGGGGCAGGCCAGGACCAGCGTTATTCTGCAAACACACACACGCACACACACACACACACGCACACACACAACGTCCTATTTTATTTCTTCTTTCCATTCTTTTGCTTCTTTAATTGAAAATACAGAAGCCTTTAAAGTTTCCCAAACACTGAGCTCAGACTTTCTCCCTCACTACTTCAGTGGATTTTATTGCCAATACAGATTGTGATTGTTGTGCTGAACTGGCCTTTTAACCACTAAAACTGCAGGGTGTGACTTTGCACCCCTGCCAGATACAGAGAGGTCCAGTTCCTCCTCAGAGGATGAGAACTGACCTCTGCAGTGATGAAATAGCCTAACCTCCCGCTCATTGCTCCCTCCTCCAGTCGGCTACACCATGAACGACCTAATATTCGAATGGGACAAGAAGGGGGCCGTGCAGGTCGCCGACGGGCTGACACTACCTCAGTTCATTCTGAAAGAAGAGAAGGACCTGCGCTACTGCACCAAGCACTACAACACAGGTGAGAGAAACTGATGCAGAATGATGTTCACCAAACTTTTTTACTGCTTGTTGTAGGAGGAAGGTTAGTATAAAGAGGTCTGAACCTGGAGACCTGCCCCTAGTCTTCATCTTCACTTTTAGATGCTGTTTTCTCTCATATTCATTCCTTGGTTGGGTTCATAAAAATGATGTGGCTTGGCTTTATGCGCAGTTCTTCATGTTACAGGTGGAGTGAGAAACACATGGAGTAGCCAGGAATATGCTCGTTTGTGCTGCGGTTTGTTCGTTAGCGGAGCTACGGTGCAGCCAGAAAGGACCGCATACATGCAGCATCTCTGTAGTGGCGTGAAGCCATCTTATCTTAATGACCTGTAGTAATACACCCTATTAGAGCATCTTCACTCTCCTACTGCAGGCCTACTTGTTGTTCCTAGAGTATTTAAAAGTAGAATGGGAGGCAGAGCCTTTCAGTTTTCAGGCCCCTCTTCTGTGGAACCAGCTTCCAGTTTGGATTCAGGAGACAGACACTATCTCTACTTTTAAGACTTTTAAAATGTCCTTTTTGCTAAAGCATATAGTTAGGGCTGGACCAGGTGACCCTGAATCCTCCGCTTAGTTATGCTGCAATAGACGTAGGCTGCGGGGGATTCTCTGAGTTGTTTCCTTCCTGTTAAAAGGGAGTTTTTCCTTCCCACTGTCGCCAAAGTGCTTGCTAATAGGGGGTCATATGATTGTGGGGTTTTTCTCTGTATGCATTATTGTAGTGTCTGCCTTACAATACAAAGCGCTTTGAGGCGACTGTTGTTGTGATTTGGTGCTGTATAAATAAAATTGAATTGAACTCGTCTGAGCCACTCAGGTTCCCCGGACAGAATCAGCGATCCACTAATGCGATGGGACATCTTCATAGGCTGCATACCCATGATCCTTTGCTCTGCACAGCCAGAACAACCCAAACAAATACAGAATCTTTTTTCTTTCTCTTATCTAATTCAGGGTCGATGGCAGGGCTAACACAGAGAGAACTATTCATCAATATCAATGATTACTTAAACATTTCAGTTTCCATGAGAACAACGGGATAAAACCATCTCAGAGCTGGGCTGTGATGCTGATATTATAAGCAAACAGATCTTTTTATTCTCCTCCTGTTGCCTCAGAATCCATTTTCTGTTCATGCACTGATAGATTTTTTTTACATATTCAGGTGATCTTCTCGGTTCCAACTCAAAGCTTTTGGAAAAGCAAATAATTGTATTTAATCAGCAGGAGGTTAACTGATCGCTATCCCAGCTTTCCTGAGACGTTACGCCAAACAGCTGCATTCTGATACTCTCTCTCCGTTGCTCGGTGAAATACCGAGCTTAGCTCAGCGGGAGCACCGCTAATGATTTCGGTTACCAGCTGCAGGTAAAATGTGCTTCTCTGAGCTACCTTAACATCAAACTGCTGTAATGCTGTGTGCATAGGAAATGTGATGAAGTTGACTTGGATATTTTCAGTTTTGAGGACCAAACCCGCCTCAAGCTTCAGGTTGAATTTTATGGTTTCTCACTCCTCCTCGCTACGCGTCAGCCTTCCTCGGTCTCTTTGTCTGGTTCCTCCTCCTTCTTTCTGTTTGTCTCTGGTTCAGGAAGGAGGGGGTGATATCTCACAATTTACTGAGAGAGATATTCTAAAATCATGTAAACAGGAGAAATGTGCAGAAATCTTGCATGAGTCAGAGACAGGTCTTCACTTTTATTTTATTCTGTGAAATATGGAATTAAGTGGACTGAAAGTTTGTTTTCCTTGTGCTATGAAGCCCTCAGTGAAAGGACAACACTGTAGGCAGCAGAGCTAGTTTGAAATGACGGGGGGGTTGGATTTAAATATTTTGTCTGGTTTCATAACCAGAAAACTGTGAAATTAAAAAGCATCATGTGCAAAAATATAAAGAGGGAAATACTAAATAGGAAAAGATAAACAGGAAGAGAACGTTGAATCGACACAACGCCGATCGTGCACGTGGACAAGACGTCAGGTAATGTTTTTTACAGCGCACATGAAAACATGAGGAGGTGACCCAAAGTGCTTTTCAGTCATCGAGCATCAAACAAAATAAACAGACACAGACAGTGACAGCACTGAGCAGGCAGCGAGAGAAACACGAAATCACGAAGCCAAAAAATCAAATACAACGAAATCCCGAAGAAGAGAAACCACAGAGGAGCTGCTGGAGACGATAGAGGACGGGGGCGGCTGCCGCGCTCCGTTTCTCCCTCCAGGTCCTCCAAGCGTGGCTGAAAACCATCTGTCCGGTCCACACAGCGAGCCCACGATCCTTACACTCCAGAAAAAACACCAAATATAAAAATATAAATCTGTATTATCTGCATGAGCCAGCAGCCTAAAATAGAAAAGCATACATAGCTATAATAATAATAATGATAACTTAGATTAAACAGAAACATTAGAGGTTGAAGAGTATGTGAGGTGTGAGGGGGCGCATTGATGGGGCATCGTGGAGCTGAGGGTGGAGGAATCACAATTCAGCGTTTGTATTTTGGGTCCAAATGATAAAGAAGAACGATCAGAATGACAAACAAATTCCTCCGTATAATAACTGAATAATCATTTACGTACCTTTACTTCTATGTCAGACAGTATATCAGAATCCAGCTGCCCTTTACTGCTGTTCTCACCGAAGCAACACAAAGACCGTGAGTCACAATCTGAGGGACACATAATTCAACAAAAACACAAACGTGACAGGTCCATTTCTGTGTGTGTGTGTGTGTGTGTGTGTGTGTGTGTGTGTGTGTGTGTGTGTGTGTGTGTGTGCTGTGTGTGTGTAGCAGGCTGATTTTAGTTTCCATTCAGAGGCATCACTCACACAGAGGTTGACATCTGCTGTCGACACTCAGGAGATGAATGATCCTCCTCCAGACGACACACAACTCTGCACACACCCACACACACACCCACACACACACACACACGCACTCTTCCTCATACACACACACAAAGACAATGAAGTGATGATAATCAACAGCTTTGGTACATGAATACATATCAGCTGTTTCCAGGATCTTTCCCAAATCACTGTAGATAAAAAAAAGTGGTTCAGCTGCAGTGTGGACATCAAATACTGATTGAATCATATTTCAGTAAACTGAAGTTAGAGTCTTTTTTAAAGTGAACTATTGATGAAAGACAGCAGAAAAAATTTACACCAGAATCAACATAACTTGCTGTTATAAACTGGCTGTGCTGGCAGGCAGAGAGTGGAGGATTCAGGAAACCGTGATGAACTTAAAAATGAGCATTTGTAGAGCAGGAAACCCAGAACAAGGAGGATCAGGGAAAACTCACACTCAGGAGGGACAACACACTGATCTCAGACAGCGAGGGCACAGGTGAGGTAAAGACAACACACAGAGAACAGCAGTCACCGAAATAAAACGGGAAGAGAGCCACGATACAGAGACAAGGCTAGAGGAACAGACTGAGAACACAGAGGAATGCAAGGACCTCCATAACGCCGTGCTTCTCAAATATTTCCTGTTACGCCCCCCTTAGGAAGAAGAAAACATTTCACGCCCCCCAACTCGCCCGCGACCATAAATAATATAATTTGTCTATAAAATAGTTAAAATAATATATAAAATAAGTCCATCTTTTAAAGATGTCCTTTTTTAAAGAAAAAAAAAGAAAGAAATATAGATTAACCTAAAACATAGTACATGCAGTAGTACTGCAACTATCTAAACTACTACTACATTTTAAAGTGCATTAATTTGTCTCAAATAAAATAAATCCTTATTTAAACTGTAAAACATTTTGACCAACTTGAACCAACTTTTATTCTGAAAAATAAAATTAAACAAAATCACTCAATAAATTTAAACTGATCAGCAACATTAACTATTCAAGTACAGATCCCCAAAACTCAAATTCAGCTCTTCTCAAATATACAAAGTCAGAGTGAAGCCGAGCGCTACAAACACTCCGTTACATTTCCTTGTCTTAGCTTTTGGGAGACTTTCGTTTGTCCCAGTATCTCCGTCTCATTGTCACTGTTAAATATTTTTTAAATATGGAATAACTGAAGCTGACAACTGAAAGCACCATAAGACACTTATGTCAAGCATCTTTATCAGGAAGTAAACACAACACATAACACAAAAGAAATAGTGGGAATATAACCCACAGCATAGAACCCTAATCCCAACATAACCCCAAATATAAAACTACAAAGACCTAGAACCCAAAAACTTGTTTCTTTTTAAGGAGGGTAGCATCGCTAATCTGCTGTAACTTATTTCTTTCTTCAATCACAAATTTAAATAAGCACACGTACTCGGGGTTGAGAGGAGGAAGACACACCAAGACACGGTGTGGGAGAGAGTCAGAGGTGATTAATAACTAATTCCTCCACTGTTTAATTTTTTTTAAACTGTATTTCAAACAGTTTGAAATTCTGAGTGCATTTAAAAGCGTCATACATCGTCCGCACAGTTAATGGATCGTCAGTATCAATATTTAATTCAAAGACTCAAAGAAAGCTTTAAGGACTAAAGATTAAACCCAGAGCACAGAGAAACAGCACTTCTCATACTCAGATTCACCTGAGTCCATTTTACTGGAGAGAGGCTCAGAGGGGCATTTCATGTTAGTACAGCAGAGACCAACAGCAGACTTCAACAATTATTCGGGCTTCCTTAAAAATTCTGAACAGATTTCCTGCCTCCATGAAGACGCTTTAGGTGAGCCAGCGTTTTAGCCACACCCCCAGTGGTTGGCGAGTAGTAAGGCTGAACGTGGCACTACCAAAACAATTAGCTAAAAAGCTCTGTGTGGAGCCTCTCTGCACCTGTGCAGCTCGCGTCTGCATTTTCACGTGAATTGCTCAAGGACAACATTCTGCCCCGCCCTCCCTCCTCTCTATCTCCTCTGTAACAATCTCTGCCTGCGCTCGCGTGCGTGCTGCCACGAGCGTGTGTTGGCGTGTGTTTGCGTCGCGTCTTCCCAATCAAGCATTAAGAGGGAATTAAGGTGTCATTGTTCCTCAGATTTATTAGCTGCAGTCTATTGTGACTCCAGGAGTTGCGTCGCGTCTTCCCAATCAAGCATTAAGAGGGAATTAAGGTGTCATTGTTCCTTATTAGCTGCAGTCTATTGTGACTCCAGGAGCGAGGGAGCTCCCCCCCTCCCTCCGTCCACTCCAGCACACACATAAAAAGCCCTGTTTGAAATACTAATTACACTTTCTGCTGCATTGCAGGGCACTTTGTTTCTGGCTAACGATACGTTCGTGGTACGCTTTCGTGAGGTAGCTGTTAATAGCCTAACGCCTGCAGAGTGGCTTCTCTCAGCCTTCACCTGGTTCTTAATTGACATCGACATGAAGAATCCCCGCCGTCAGGCTGTCCATATTCCACTTCGTCTCCTGCTGAAAGTGGCTCGGTACATCCGGTGTCTAAAACTGATGTTTTAACTTTACACATCTGTACAATCGTCTCACTTTCATTAGCTCTCCAGGTTCGTGCTCCTTGTTTTTCATTAAATGTTTTTGTATAAATTAAGTAATGCAACACACAAGCAAGCACCTCATATTATTTTTTCAGTACAACCTGAGATGTGTGGACACACAGCTTCATCTCATCCCGGGGGTGTCAATTAGTGCTGGCCTGGCTCATTGACCCAGCCCGTGTCCTTCCTGCTTTACAGCATCAGTAGAAGAACAGGGTTACTGTTGTTAAGGGGCGTGTTTTAAACCAAACTAACCGAAGCCTAACCAGGTATTGGACTTGTACCCAGCTCTATATATATTATTTTAACTATTTTATAGACAAATTATATTATTTATGGTCGCGGGCGAGTTGGGGGGCGTGAAATGTTTTCTTCTTCCTAAGGGGGGCGTAACAGGAAATATTTGAGAAGCACGGCGTTATGGAGGTCCTTGCATTCCTCTGTGTTCTCAGTCTGTTCCTCTAGCCTTGTCTCTGTATCGTGGCTCTCTTCCCGTTTTATTTCGGTGACTGCTGTTCTCTGTGTGTTGTCTTTACCTCACCTGTGCCCTCGCTGTCTGAGATCAGTGTGTTGTCCCTCCTGAGTGTGAGTTTTCCCTGATCCTCCTTGTTCTGGGTTTCCTGCTCTACAAATGCTCATTTTTAAGTTCATCACGGTTTCCTGAATCCTCCACTCTCTGCCTGCCAGCACAGCCAGTTTATAACAGCAAGTTATGTTGATTCTGGTGTAAATTTTTTCTGCTGTCTTTCATCAATAGTTCACTTTAAAAAAGACTCTAACTTCAGTTTACTGAAATATGATTCAATCAGTATTTGATGTCCACACTGCAGCTGAACCACTTTTTTTTATCTACAGTGATTTGGGAAAGATCCTGGAAACAGCTGATATGTATTCATGTACCAAAGCTGTTGATTATCATCACTTCATTGTCTTTGTGTGTGTGTATGAGGAAGAGTGCGTGTGTGTGTGTGTGTGGGTGTGTGTGTGGGTGTGTGCAGAGTTGTGTCAAGGCTTTTCGTCTGGAGGAGGATCATTCATCTCCTGACTGTCGACAGCAGATGTCAACCTCTGTGTGAGTGATGCCTCTGAATGGAAACTAATCAGCCTGCCTACGTGAACTGAGAAACTAATCAGCCTCGCTATCGACAACACAATCACTACAATCTGACCACAGCCCACACACACACATCTCCAACAAACACACCACACACACACACACACACACACAACACACAGAAATTGCGACCTGTCATCTTGTTATCATGGTTTTCAAGAGTCATATGTAATGTATTTTGAGATGCCCATTCGAGATTTGTCGCGTAGCTCAGACCCTTGTCCGATTGTTGTAGTGTCTTCAAAGGTGAGAACAGCAGTAAAGGCAGCTGGATTCTGATATACTGTCTGACATAGAAGTAAAGGTACGTAAATGATTATTCAGTTATTATACGGAGGAATTTGTTTGTCATTCTGATCGTTCTTCTTTATCATTTGGACCCAAAATACAAACGCTGAATTGTGATTCCTCCACCCTCAGCTCCACGATGCCCCATCAATGCGCCCCCTCACACCTCACATACTCTTCAACCTCTAATGTTTCTGTTTAATCTAAGTTATCATTATTATTATTATAGCTATGTATGCTTTTCTATTTTAGGCTGCTGGCTCATGCAGATAATACAGATTTATATTTTTATATTTGGTGTTTTTTCTGGAGTGTAAGGATCGTGGGCTCGCTGTGTGGACCGGACAGATGGTTTTCAGCCACGCTTGGAGGACCTGGAGGGAGAAACGGAGCGCGGCAGCCGCCCCCGTCCTCTATCGTCTCCAGCAGCTCCTCTGTGGTTTCTCTTCTTCGGGATTTCGTTGTATTTGATTTTTTGGCTTCGTGATTTCGTGTTTCTCTCGCTGCCTGCTCAGTGCTGTCACTGTCTGTGTCTGTTTATTTTGTTTGATGCTCGATGACTGAAAAGCACTTTGGGTCACCTCCTCATGTTTTCATGTGCGCTGTAAAAAACATTACCTGACGTCTTGTCCACGTGCACGATCGGCGTTGTGTCGATTCAACGTTCTCTTCCTGTTTATCTTTTCCTATTTAGTATTTCCCTCTTTATATTTTTGCACATGATGCTTTTTGGAGATCGGCGTCTACTCTCCCCACCTTCTGAGTGTTCTAGCTGCTTCACACGTCTCTATCCTTGGCTTCTTATTCTGCTTCCTTGATGGATTAAAAATATGATTCCATCTATTAGATTACTTTTCTTGCAACCTATCTCAATGTCTGTTATTAATTTCAACAGTCTCTTTGCTTGGTTATGAAAATCCAGAACCATAAACAATATTGTATAAATCCAACTCCCCTCTCGATCAATTTCAAACTAGCTCTGCTGCCTACAGTGTAGTCCTTTCACTGAGGGCTTCAGAGCACAAGGAAAACAAACTTTCAGTCCACTTATTTCCATATTTCACAGAATAAAATAAAAGTGAAGACCTGTCTCTGACTCATGCAAGATTTCTGCACATTTCTCCTGTTTACATGATTTTAGAATATCTCTCTCAGTAAATTGTGAGATATCACCCCCTCCTTCCTGAACCAGAGACAAACAGAAAGAAGGAGGAGGAACCAGACAAAGAGACCGAGGAAGGCTGACGCGTAGCGAGGAGGAGTGAGAAACCATAAAATTCAACCTGAAGCTTGAGGCGGGTTTGGTCCTCAAAACTGAAAATATCCAAGTCAACTTCATCACATTTCCTATGCACACAGCATTACAGCAGTTTGATGTTAAGGTAGCTCAGAGAAGCACATTTTACCTGCAGCTGGTAACCGAAATCATTAGCGGTGCTCCCGCTGAGCTAAGCTCGGTATTTCACCGAGCAACGGAGAGAGAGTATCAGAATGCAGCTGTTTGGCGTAACGTCTCAGGAAAGCTGGGATAGCGATCAGTTAACCTCCTGCTGATTAAATACAATTATTTGCTTTTCCAAAAGCTTTGAGTTGGAACCGAGAAGATCACCTGAATATGTAAAAAAAATCTATCAGTGCATGAACAGAAAATGGATTCTGAGGCAACAGGAGGAGAATCCTGCTGATTAAATACAATTATTTGCTTTTCCAAAAGCTTTGAGTTGGAACCGAGAAGATCACCTGAATATGTAAAAAAAATCTATCAGTGCATGAACAGAAAATGGATTCTGAGGCAACAGGAGGAGAATAAAAAGATCTGTTTGCTTATAATATCAGCATCACAGCCCAGCTCTGAGATGGTTTTATCCCGTTGTTCTCATGGAAACTGAAATGTTTAAGTAATCATTGATATTGATGAATAGTTCTCTCTGTGTTAGCCCTGCCATCGACCCTGAATTAGATAAGAGAAAGAAAAAAGATTCTGTATTTGTTTGGGTTGTTCTGGCTGTGCAGAGCAAAGGATCATGGGTATGCAGCCTATGAAGATGTCCCATCGCATTAGTGGATCGCTGATTCTGTCCGGGGAACCTGAGTGGCTCAGACGAGTTCAATTCAATTTTATTTATACAGCACCAAATCACAACAACAGTCGCCTCAAAGCGCTTTGTATTGTAAGGCAGACACTACAATAATGCATACAGAGAAAAACCCCACAATCATATGACCCCCTATGACGCGACAGGAAAGGAAAAACTCCCTTACAATAATGCATACAGAGAAAAACCCCACAATCATATGACCCCCTATTAGCAAGCACTTTGGCGACAGAGGAAAGGAAAAACTCCCTTTTAACAGGAAGAAAACTCAGAAGAATCCCCCCGCAGCCTACGCCTATGCAGCATAACTAAGGGAGGATTCAGGGTCACCTGATCCAGTCCTAACTACTGTATATGCTTTAGCAAAAAGAAAAGTCTTAAAAGTAGAGATAGTGTCTGTCTCCTTAATCCAAACTGGAAGCTGGTTCCACAGAACAAGGGCCTGAAAACTGAAGGCTCTCCCTCCTCTTCTACTTTTAAATACTCTAGGAACAACAAGTAAGCCTGCAGTGTGAGAGTGAAGAGCTCTAATGGGGTACTATAAGGTCATTAAGATAAGATGGCTTCACGCCACTACAGAGATGCTGCATGTATGCGGTCCTTTCTGGCTGCACACGTAGCTCCAGCACTTAAAAGCTCTGAAGCTATGACGAACAAAACCGCCTAGCAACAAAAATATCACAGTCAGACTGCAATATAATCACTGGTCTTACTAACCAGTTGTTCATTCACCCCCACCTCCTTACACACTTGCGCGAACGCAACTGGCCGCATAAAGCCAAGGCTGCTCACACGTCACATCTGTTTATCTGCTAACTCCAACCACCATCTTGATGAATATGCAGAGTAAATACCCACATCATCTAAAACTCGAGTATCTGAAGTACTCGCGGCTAGGCTTCTTCTCATGCGCTTCTCAGTACCATTCTTTCCTCAAGTATACTATTCTCTCTCACTCCTTTACAACAAGCAGTTAAAAAAAAGTCTTTGTGTTCCGATGCAACATTTGCACTTACTGCCACTCTTATGCTTTATTCTCCTTTCACCTGTTCTGGTTGCTAAACCTTGCCGCGTCCTTGCTACGAGTACTGCAGGCTCCTTCCTCTTCTCTTTCCAGATTCGCAGTACTGACTGGTATGTGTCATAGAGCCCCGTCGGCGGACCTGCACGGTCTCACACCTCTCTCGTACCCATATCGACTAGTATTAAGTCGACTCGGCGACCTGCACGGCCCCCTTCTTGTCCCATTCGAATATTAGGTCGTTCATGGTGTAGCCGACTGGAGGAGGGAGCAATGAGCGGGAGGTTAGGCTATTTCATCACTGCAGAGGTCAGTTCTCATCCTCTGAGGAGGAACTGGACCTCTCTGTATCTGGCAGGGGTGCAAAGTCACACCCTGCAGTTTTAGTGGTTAAAAGGCCAGTTCAGCACAACAATCACAATCTGTATTGGCAATAAAATCCACTGAAGTAGTGAGGGAGAAAGTCTGAGCTCAGTGTTTGGGAAACTTTAAAGGCTTCTGTATTTTCAATTAAAGAAGCAAAACAATGGAAAGAAGAAATAAAATGTAGGGAGAAGGCGAAGAAAGGAAAGCGAGAACAACGACACTGAGCAAGAATACTGACGGACCAGATGTGTAATCAACAAATTGCAATAAGAGGAGATATGTAACAGACTATATGCGAAAAAAAGATACCAAAATTAGCAGTCACTCTAGGAGCCGGCTTTTGAGTGACAGAGTTTTAAACGGATACCAGGTATCTTAGAGAGTTATTAACAACCAGCCCACACCTAGTCAGCAGCCTGAACCATGGACATCTTATGGACCCAAATGGATCTCATTGCACTATAACTTTGTCCAGACCATGCGCAAAACGAATGTATGCATCATGACCAAAGCAGTTTCTGTTGTGCCTGTAGTCATTGCGTGAAGTCTAGCTGTTTAGTCCGAGTGACCCGCCTGGCATCTTGTCCTGTTCTTACTGAGCGCCAGCAGTGCGACAACTGGTGGGTCGTCGCTGCTGGAAGCCCATCTGCTACCAAGGTTTAGCACAAAGAGAGATGCGTTATCGTGCGACAGTACTATTAGTGGTCTGTAAGCTGAGTGGTTATTGGCGCAGTTATTGTCATGCCCCTTTCCTATCTTAAAGAGCAGTCGTTACCATTCCCTCTCTGACCTTAGCGAGATCGTCATCTTCTCCTTATCCACAGAGCTTGCTGCTTGGTTCTGTTCATTTTCCTTCTGCACGTACTGCAGAGTTGGCCAATGAGTCTTCGCGTGCAGCCTTAAAAGATAAGATAGCGAAGACAACTCATAAACACTAACGCTAACACCATCGCCACATTCTTTCTCTCGAGTCCTATCTGATGTACTTCGCGGATATACACAATAGAAGTCAGTCAAGCATCGTCTCACGCTGCGCGCAGCTGCCTGCCTGTAGTGATTGTGAGCTGGATCTAATAATATTAGATGATGACCAGTTTCACTATTAACAGGTGTGGCGCCCTAATAAAGTGTCTGGCGGATGTGTATAATAAATACATCGTGGAGAAAAATCCATCAAATACAGCGAGTGAATTACTTTATGCCTTAAAACAGTTCAACTGGTGGTATCAATAATTATGATCTATGTTATAATGTTGATTATTTATAAACAACGGATATATAAAACAGGTGTGCCTTAAAGTGTCTGGGGAGTGTAAATATCAGTAATATATACAGAGAATTACTTTATGCAACTAACTGGTGGCTTAACTAGTAAATGTGTTATTTATAAACAGCGGTAAAAAGCGACTTTATGATGTTTTGGTGTCTGTTTCACAAACTCAGAGACGACTGCATTGTTCTGTCTTTGATTTACGATCACTGACTCTCTGCAGATGTACTTCACACTCGCTGCTGGGATTCCTCTCACGTCTGCTCAACAATAAGACCACAAGAAAAATCTATACCATATCTCTCACTCTGCCAGCTGCTGTTACTGATCGAATGATGTGTGTGTCTGTGTGTGTGTGTGTGTGTAATTACTCACAGCTCTCCAGCTGCATGATGCAGGTCTGGACGTCCATTGGAAAGTTCTTCAGATCCATGGGGCAGGCCAGGACCAGCGTTATTCTGCAAACACACACACACACACACACTTTTACAGTAAGAGGATTACCTCGGGTTTTATCAGATCGCCACATCGACACACACACAGACAGACACAGACACACACACACACACACACACACACACACGCACGCACACCACGCACACACACACACGCACGCACGCACACACACC